GGATCTGAACCAGGGCCCTGCTGCTCAGAGCTGGCATCCCAAGACAGCTCTTAACCAATGCACCACTCAGCCGGCCCTATAATGTCTAATTCTTTGTACCATTTTTCTTCTCCTTCTCTCTCAGGATTGTATCGGTCCAGTGTTCTGAGATTTCATGATGATGGGACCTGGCATGGGCTTTTAAAAAAATTAATAGCTGTGGACACTCAGATCTTTTCATCTGGGAGCTTATGTCCTTAGTTCTACAAGTTTTTCTTATACTCTGGCTGATAATTTTTCATCCTGTTTTCTCTTTCTGGAACTCTTGTTAATCAGATGTTGAATACCCCGGACTGATCGTTTAGTTTCCTTACATTTCTTTTCCTTACATTTTTCAGGTGATTTTTCTCAACTTTACCTTGCAACTCTTCTGTTGAAATTATTCCCTTTCTATTTTCAATCTTTCAAGGTGAGTTCCTTGTCCCTGAATATTTTTGTTATAGCCTCCTGTATGCTTACCCATGGCATATGAGGCTTTGTGCCAGTGGTGCCCAACGCTAGTGCATGTCACAAAATCTGGGAAGCGTTTATAAAATAATGATGTCCAGGGCTTATGCTCAAGGATTATGAGTTAAGGGATCCAGGGTGGGTCCCAAGCATAGTTTTTTTTAATTGGCTATCTCATCTCCACCAGAAATAAGCACTTGTTATCATCTCCTTTATACTTAGACTGGGGCCTCGTGCATAGAGCATTCACTAAATATTGTTGAATGAATAAAGCAGTTTTGTACAGAATTGTAAAATAAGAATGGGTTATAGGCAATCTATTTTGTTCAAGTCTTCTCTAGATATAGCTGAAAACCTAGTACCTGAAAGTCAAACATAGTCTCGCATGTCAAAAAGTATTTAAAACCGGGCCGGCCGAGTGGCGCGATGGTTAAGAACTTGCTTGGGATGCTAGAGGGCCCCGGTTCGGATCCCACATATGGGGGCCAGTGACACTGCCCTCTGCGGCTGAGATGCTGAGCAACAGCTCGGCCTGGAGCTGGGCTGCCGTGAGTTGTCGGCAATGGCGTAGGCTGCACCCCTGTGGCAGTGGGTTGCCATGGGCTGCCGTATGTAGCCAGCAGCCAGCGTGAGCGGCCAGCAGCCGCAGTGAGCGGCCGTCCAGAAGCCGGCNGGCCAGCAGCCGCAGTGAGCGGCCGTCCAGAAGCCGGCGACTGATCTGCCTCGCCCGGGAAGAGCACAATGATGGTGCCAACTTGGGCCAGTGAAGCGAAGTCCTCCACGGCTGGACTGAAGAACAGGGGGACAGCGGCTTGTCTGTTCCCCTTCCCCCGATTCCCCAGCGCTGTTCCCATCCCCCCAATTCCCCAATTAAAAAAATAATAAAAAAAATAAAATTAAAAAAAAAAAGTATTTAAAACCAAGAGTTAAAAAATAAAAAATTATAAAATTCCCTATTTCATCTTGCCTTTCAGGCAAAGTGTCATTAACAACATATTTCTTGTGAACTAGGGAGTTAAAGTGTAATTTTGTGTCTGTTTCTGTTATGACCCCAAGGCAGCAGCTGCCATACACAAGGAGAGGAACAGGACCGACGCAGGACTGCAGAACAAGAGGCCCAAAGAGAGTTCGGACTTCTGCCTGATCTTTAGCCAATGGAAGAGCTGGAAATGAGAGAACAATTTTTAGAAGCTGGTGATGTGCTGTGAGTCTCACTACTGTGGAGGGAGATGGTGGCGAGATTCTGGAGTGTGTAGAGGGGGCCCCTAAGAACCAGGGACCAAGGGGAAGGTTATAGGGGGCCAGCCAAAGAGCGTGCATCATCCAAAGTAAGGGGATGGCAGGTGACAGGACCACAGAAGCAACCGGAGGGGGGGACAAAAGGTAGGTCTCAGAATACTAATGGAAGACGTACCATCAGCACAAGTTTCATCTTTAAACACACACCAGACTGGGAGAACCAGAAGCCAGTTCACAACAGCACTGGTCAAGTATGAACTTTCCTCTTCCCATCCCACGCATCTTAGCAACACAGGACAAAACAAGGCCAAGGCCAAGCAGTTGCTGCCCCCCTTCCCCCCAGAAGGCAAGGCTGGCAGCAGGCCCAAGCTGGGAAAGGGGCAGCCTCTATCTCCAAAAGCAGTTCAAAGACACATCCTCTACCGATGGAAGCAGCACATTCCATCCAAGGGCAGGGGCAGAATGAGGCCCAGAGAATACACTTAAAGACAGCGGGAGACCAAAATAAAGTTGCTCTTTGATCCAACTGGGCTTTTAACGTAACGACAGGACTGGCACTTTGGATGCATTCTGTTCCTTTCCTCCTCCACTGAATAGGATGGATCAGCTAAAGCTCATTGTCACTGGATTGTGTCTACCAATTTGATGTGTTTGGCAGCTTAATGATTTCTACTTGCGGCAAATGATAGAATTTATATCTCCTTTTCTTTTCCCTAGTATTTCACTAGAACCTGAATTTGGCGTGGCAAGATTTTGGTTTAGGATTCTCAGTGGAAAAGTATACAAAAGTACAGTTGGTTTGAGAATTGTGCATATGAAAAGGGAGAAAGCCTATAATTTCTGGAGTGTTTTAAAAGCACATTTTTGGAGAAAAGGCAATACCAGCTCACAGAGGCACAGCAGAATTCTAAGGAACAGTGGCAACTGCTGAGGTAGAGAGATGAATGATGGAAGAGATGGCAGCGGCTGCCTTTTCCGGGAGGCAACCACTTCCCTGAACCTCAGGCCCCTGTTCAGAGACCCCAGCCAAGAGCTATACCTTGGAAGGTGAAACGCATGCCTGATGGGAATCAGAACAGGGGTTGCCTCTGGAGAGGAGGGGTGGAGATTGGCTGGGGAGCAGCAGGACAGCTTTCTGGGGTGATGTGACCTTGAAAGGGGGGTGTTAGGTTGACAGGTGTATGCATTTGTCTTACGCGGTACACTTAGGATCTATGCATTTCACTGTATGTAAATCTTACCCACCCTCTAAAAAAAATGGTAAGGAAGTTAATGATATGGACACTGAAGTGTTTAGGAGTGTGTAGTATCTGTAACTGTCCTTTAAATTGCACCAAAAAAATGGGATGAATGGAGGATGGATAGTCATGAGATAAATATGACAGAATGTAAATTGTAGAAATTGTAGAGTAAAATGGAGAATATACAATTATTTCAACTCTGAATGTTTGAAATTTTTCATAATGCCGGGAGTGGGCACACCTTTGTTATATGGACAAATGTAATTCTGAAGTCCAGGAGCCACGCCCTTTCCTCCATGTCCACGTCAGTGGTCAGTGTATAACCAGAGTAGGTACTGTATTCCCATACACTTGCTACTCTGAAGTACAGAAACTGTAGGGCATTTGCATGTATTATACCATTATTTAGACTTTTAAAACTGCATTTTTACATCTTACGATGAGCCCAAGGAATTCAACACACGGCTTCCCATGTGGGAAACCCCATTCCCAAGGGGCTGGGAGGTGGAGCCTCCTTATGTTCATGAGTCACCTGGTTTTCCCCAAAGCTAGACCAGCCTCAACTTTTCTCAGGGCCTCAGGGGAGAGTTTTAGAATGGGGAACTTTAAGGCAAACAAGAGGGTCTGACAGAGGGATGAAGGGAAGAGGAGAGGAGGGCCAGGTCCCCAAGCCCTGGCTCTGGAGTCAAGCCCTCCCCTCCTCTAGAAGCCTGACCCACAGCCGGGGATAATTTATGTTAATCAAACCTTCTCCCCCATTATCCTTCAAGGAGAAACTCAAGCCCAGACACAGGAACCTCAGACTTGGATCCCAACCAACAGCCTCTGAGAACAAAGAGAAAGTACTGGTCCCCATACCTGACTTAATTTTAAAACTGAATCTCGGAGGTAATGACTGAGGCAGGGTTATTTTGCTCGTCCTGCACTCACCTCCTCAAGGGTGTGCTTCCTGGGTCCGCGGGGAAGGGGCACTGTGCAGTGGTTTCCTAAAGAACATTCTATTTGGGGACTTGGGGGAAATTATTTGAAAAGATTATCTCTATATTAATACAAACATGGATATATTATGGAGTGGAAAATTCCTATGATCTTTCACTAAAATAGGCGACTTTGAAGAGACTTGCCGAGCCCTTAGAAACTACACCCCTAAGCTCCCAAGGGTACATGTGTTACGTCCCTGATACTGTTAAGGAAACATCACTGGAAAATTTACAAAAGCATTTTTGCTAGATGGACGAATTCACACTGTAGACGAGGTTACTTTGGGGGAACGGAGGACAACGAAGGGGTATTTCAAGGTTTGCACTATACAGGTTTGAATCTTTTCCCTCTGTAACAACAAAAGACAAAAAAAAAAACCCAAAAACCTCATGAAAAAGAAATACATGTGGCTTCTGGAGGAAAAATCCCCGAGTACTGCTGGAGGACGGGTGGCCTACAGGCTCACAGAGCAGCGGGCGCCTTCGGGGACCCCCACACTGGAGTCTGAGGGAAGGCAGATGTTTACTCAGGATGAACTCACCCAGGTGAGAGGGACCACCCAGGATTTCTGGGGAAGAGGATGCTTGGGGTTACAGACCTGTGCTCCCAGCTGTGAGAACTCAGGGAAGTCACTCGCTAGACCCCAATTTCCTCATTTTTAAGATGGCTTTAATGCCCTGCCCTGTCTGTAGAGTACTGTGAGGATGATGTGAGCCACAGTATATAACACACCGGGTGCATTCTGAGTACTCAACAAATATACCTCCTTTCCTTTCCCCAGGGCAGTGCAGTAGGAAAAAACTTTCAAAACATTGGCGCGAGTGAGAAATGATAAAACGGGTGGCTAGAGACAAGAGGCCCAGGAACCAGGGTACCGATTTAAGCCAGGCTCAGCTCAGCAAGTATGGCTACAGGTGCAGTAAGGACCAGGCCGCTCAGGCCACGAACACGACCTGCCACAGGGGCTGGAGGGGACACTGGGGCTTCAGACCATGTGATGACTCAGGAAGAGAGAGGCCCTTTCCACCTAGTGTTTAAAGACACACAGCAGGGTAAGCATTTCAGTTATTTTTAGTTAAAGAAAAACAGCCTTTTCCAAGGGTGACAAAGTGAACTGAAGGTCAGAAGGAGGCAGGGTGTGGGTTTCTCACAAGCTCTTGCTCCAAAACCTACACTTGAGGAGAGAGGGCCCTCCTGCGAACTCAGGGGCAACTGGCCAGCAGAGGGATGACGTCGGGGGTGTGGGCAGGGCTGCAGCCCACCTCAGTCACTAGGTTGGTCTGCATGGGCTCCAAGGTGACTTCCACCTGCCAGTCGGTTGACAAGATTAACACCATTATTCTTGGGGGCATTAAATTAAGGAATGATGCAGGGAGCCCAGAGAGTGGCTTATTCAGTTGGATTCTGAATCACAATCAGGAAATAATCTTTATCTGCAAAAGAGAAAAATGAAAACACAAATCACTAAATGTAAAACGGGAGAAAAATGCACTACAAAGGAAATAAATAATTAAATCACCAACCAGAAAATGGGGCGGAAGTGGGGGGATTAAAAAGCATCAGTGCTTTGGGGCAGCCAGTTGGCTCAGTTGGTTAGAGCACAGTGCACATGACACCGAGGTTGCGGGTTCGATCCCAACATGGGCCACTGAGATGTGCCCTCCACAGCTAGATTGAAACAACTACTTGACTTGGAGCTGGTGGGTCCTGGAAATACACACCGTTCCCGCCCGCCCCCGCAAAAAGCATCAGTGTTCAGGCTACTTCCAGTTGCTGGGGAAACAGAAGGTAAGCTTGCATGTTCCCTGTGGGGGCTTCTGCAAGTGTGAGAGCAACCACATCCTCTTTTCAAATCTTCCCACCAAGGCATGATTGTCACCTCTGTTTTCTGGGAGGGAAACTCAGGTTCAGGGAGTTTAAATGAATTGCCTGAGGCATTGGTTCTCAAACTGGCTGGGCTTAAAACAAACACTGCAAGGCCGTACCCCTGGGGTCTGGGATTCAGCAGATCTGGGGTAGAGCCTGAGAATCTGCGTTTTAAACAAGTTCCCAGGTGATGCTGATGCTAGGTTCTGGGAGAACCACTAGTTTAAGGTTACCCAGCTGGTTAGTGCCAACGATGGAATGCCAGCCTCAACCCCACTGCTCTTGGGTTAATGTCGGTTCTGTCACAGCTGCTGCCCTTCCAGAACCTTCTAGATGAGAAAATTTCAAAGGCACCAGGTGAAAACGCCCCAAAGCTACCTGGATTCCAGTTCTGGGGATCCAGCCCAGTAAGGAGGACTGTCCATCGTGAAATTATAGCAAGTCCAAGACCTCAGGGGTGAGCCTGACTTCCCTTCATTTTATGGAAGAGGAAATTGGAGCAGCAGTGTTTCAGCTTTGCCACTTAATTATCAAACCATAAACACTTACCAAGGCTTCCATGTGCCCAGCCCTGGGCCGACCACTTCTCATATGGTACCTCAAGGAATCCGCGAATCACTCTATGAGGCAGATACTAGTGTTTTCTCAATTTACAAATAAGAACACTGAGGCTCAGAGTTGAATGACTTGCCCAAGTCAAGGGAGAAATGCGGGGTGGAAGAGCTGGGTTTGACCCAGGTGCTCTGAACGCCTCTGGTCTGCCCCCTGCTGAACAGGAGAGAAAAGGCAGGACCTCGGCCATGTCTGCTTCCCATCTGTTGATTCAAACCTAAAGCGTGCTTCTTCCCATGACAACGGGCTGATGCAATTGAGAAGCAGCAGATCTTATATGACTAACCGTTTCGTGGCTAAACAATCTGTGTAAGTAGAAAACCACTTACTGATAAAAATAAAAATAATTAACAAGCCACTGTCTTTTCTTACAAATGTTGAATTTCCTAAATTCAACAATATCACTCAAGTGCTCTGTGAGAAGCAGAGTGGTCAAGTTTGACTATGCTGTTTAACTCAGCTTTACATCAGTGAGGTTAATAAGTGAAAACCAAAAGTCTGTCTTAAAACATTCTCTTCATATGGGTTATTCTGGGCCAGGATGGGCTGAATTTGGTACATATGTAGGGAGCCAAACTGTCTGAAACTACCTTGTGCTGTTTTTGGTCTGGGAAACAGCTTCTCAGTTTGATCCATGAGGGAGGCTGGGTGGGAAAAAAGGATGGGGGACCTCATTCCTGGGCAGGGGTGCCCCCTGTTGCTCCCATGACGTGGGGTGCAAATGACAGGCCTAGAAGGGTCCATCTCAAACATGCAGCAGGTAAGCCTGTTCTATGCTGGGGGCTGCCCTGTGCCCGCTGGAAATCCTAAGGCGATCCAGCCCTAATGTCCCAGGTGCCCTGCTCAGTGGTTCCTGCCCACAGGAGTGCTGGCACCAAAATCCAGCATTTTTTTGCTGTATCGAAGTGAGTGTATCAAGGTGTCCAATCACTAGTTTTCATCCTAAACACATGTCCCACAGACATCCCTGACCCCCATCCTCACTGCTGACCCCACCTCTGATCCCCACAGTGGGGTGTCAGCAATGGAGGGAGGTTTGGGGAGTCATTCATTTATTTACTCAACACTGTCCATGGAGAGTTTGTCTGACCTGCAGTCTGCACAATGTCCCTGCCTCACGCTGTGTGCTCCCATGTGGGCGCTGGCCGGCTCTCACGTGCAGGGCCAGTAGAGGGACCAGGCCCAGCTAACTTTTAGGGAAGTTAGTGGGGGTCTGTGTGTTGTCACACAGCATGAAGTCTTGGGAGTGGATCTGAGTTCAAATCTGCTTCTAAGCCTTTTTGCCCCAACCTGCGCCAACACACTCAACTAGATGGGGTATCTGAGAAGACCAGAGCAGCACAGCCCCCTGCTTGACATCTTACAGATGTATAAACAGAGGTCCAGAGGTGGTCCATGACGTAAGGCCACACCTGTAAGAGCTCAGCTGGGAAACAGTATCCGCCTGCTGCCACCCATTTTCCCTGACAGAGTCAGAGGCACACAGGCTGGCATGTGATGCATTCGAGTGAGGAAACAGATGAACAGTATATGGCATGTTTTTGGAACCAGTGACTCTGGAGTTATCCTATGTTCTTCTCTGTGACTGGATGTTTTGTCCCCACCCCTGTAAGGAGTGTCCTAGGGAGACTGTGGGCCTCTGTAACTGGCTCTACGGTGGCTGCACAGTATTTGTGCCTTATGCTTTGGTTTAGAATCACTGAATCTTTTGCCTTCAAGCATAGCTCTCCTGCCCCTCCACCTCGCTGACTCTTTCCTTCCTGTGCCCTCAAGATTCAGCTCTGATGTGCGCTCTTTTGGGGAGCCTCTGCGGATTGCCCCAAGCAGCCCAGTCACACCCCCCTCTCTGTTCCCGAGGCAAGGGTTACACTGTGTCCTGCTTACATGTCTATCTCCCCCATGAGGCCATGCTTCCCCTCTCGGGCCTGGAACCCAGGACAGGGTCTGACCTACAGTCACTGTGCATGTTTGGAGATGCCAGCCGGAGGCCGGCCAGGCAGCGAAGCAATCAAGTCTGTACCTTCAACTCCTCAGGCCTTTCCACGGAACCTGAGAAGACACTAACGTGTGAAGCCTCCCCGATAAGCTACAGAACGTGTGCCACGAGGGTCTGATCCTAAGGGGGCTGTGGGAGACCTCTTCTTACCGGGTGCAACCATAATTTCATTTTTCTTGGAGCGAATTCGAAGGAAGGTGAGGTCGTTCTGGGGGTCGATCTCACGCACGGTGCTCCGGGCCTTCAAGATGAAGTTGTGCATGAGGCTGGCGTACTGCGTGGTGGTGGGATTGTCCATAGTGCTCTTGATGGGGATGCCTGAGGGGAGAGCAGACAGCATGGGGCAGGATACCGGGGCTCTTTTCTGTTCAGCTCCCAACTCCGCACCCCTAATCTAGAGTAACGGACTGGCAGGTAAACCAATGCCACTGTCTACTGAGGGCTTGACAGGCACAGTGCCAGTCCCCAGAACGACTCTGAGGGTGGCGTTCCCATCTTCACTTGCCAAGGAGGCAACAGAAACTCTGAGCAGTGAGGTGACCTGCTGACAGTCACACAGCAGATAAGTGGTGGGGCCAGGAGTCAAATGCAGGCCCGTTGTGTTCCCCGCTGGGCTCCTCGCCCAGGGCCACACTGTCTTGCCTAGTTTCTGGCAACAGAAGGAGACACTATCATTCAGAACACTTAGAACCTGAATAAGGAGGCCAGCTCTTACAAATCTGTAAATACTGAAAAGTAGGAAGAAGTAAAAAGGTCAGCCTGTGCTGAGATATAACCACCCCCAGCGTTTTGCTCCAGCTCCCCAGGGAGGCTGAGGACCCAGTTGTAAACCCACTCTGCGTACACGTGATTGTGCCCCGCAATTAAAGCCCGTTTCCGTCTGCATACACCCTTGTAAAGAGCACTGCCATGCTCTCAGAGCCTACAGTGGCCATTCCACTGAGTTCATGAGCCTCTGCTCTTGAGTACTTACACTGGATTTTTTACTTAATTACTGTGCAATGAACACCACTGTGCATCAAGCGTGTTCTGCTTTGAGGGCTGTTTCCTTGTGATGAGCTATTAAATGGAACTCCCTCCCTGGACTGTGTGTGTTGTCATGGAGGTGAGGAATGGGGCTCAGGTGAGCCTCCTCAGGCCACAACTGGATCAACAATCAGATGCCTATGAATCACTGTGACATGTAAACAGAAGGCTCCATCAATGAAGCCCCAGGTGCCCACCGCTGACAGGTGCTTGTGATGAACGTGGCTCCAGTGGCTCCTCACATGTAAGTGGATGGGTTTTGGCCCCAGGATGCTGCTAATCTGGCCCACAGCTGACCAGTCTAAGGGTCAGCCTCAGGCCTACCCATGGGTAGCAAGAAACTGGCCCAACCTTGTCTTCTTAGGGCACAGGAGTGGGCAGAAGAGGACAGAGTGGAAGAGATGCAGCTGAGTCAGAGAGGCTGTTTTGAGGCAAGGAAGTAATGAGAACAGACTGTAGTGATCATTTGCCCTTAAGGGACAAGACAACTAGGTCATCAGCTGGGTCCTGGATGGCAACAGCATGCCCACAGGGCCCCATGAGGCCTTGCCCAACAGTGGAACCTTCCTGAGGAAGGTAGTGTGAGTGATGACTGAGTAGGAATTCTGAAAGCTGACAGCCTGAACTTATACCCCGGCTCTGCCTCTTCACGGCAACGTGGCCTTAGACAAGTAATTCAACCTCTCTGGGCCTCCATTTCCTCACCTGTAAAATAATGCCTGTGCTTCAAAGTGCTGCTGTGAGGATTAAATATGGTTTAAGACGGTTTAGCAAGAGCATGCATGTAATAATAAATGCTGGTTTGTTACCAACATCACCCACCCAATAAATGCCATCCCCCAGGTTGCTTGAGGGGCCAGTCTCAAGGCCTGGCAATGTTTGGGTAATCAAACCTCTTGACCTTCTCTTTTTATATATTACAAGGGTACCTTCTCTCAAGTCCCTCTGCAACCCGAAACTTTCCTTCCTTCCCCTATTCTCTCACATCTCCCACTGGTCCCTAGGGCTCCATCTTCTGGTGGCTCCACCTTCTGGTGGCTCCACCGCCCCCACCCCAGATGGGGTCAATGCCCCATTCTACCGTCACACAGTTTTCCTTTGGAGAAGTTACTTGAATTTGACATCACACCTTTATGGAAGTGATCATTATGTTCCCCCCCCCCCCCCCCCCCCCCACCGCAGACTGTAGCTCCCTGAGGGCCAGGGCCAGGATCCTTACAGAGGCTGCATTAAGCATTTATTGCTGTTGATAAATGAGAAATCACAAAGGCTACTTTCAGCAATTCAGACATGAGTTTGATCACATTCCTACCAAGGGAGAGGGTGTGTAAAGGAGAAAAGAAACTAACCGCTTGTTGGCTGACTTTAAAAACAAAAGAAAACATGAAGGTGGTGGTGGTGGGGTGGCAGGGACCACCACTGGAGAGAATTTTAAATAAGGATAAGAGGTCACAGGATGCCAGATTCACAGGATACCAAGGCATTTCAAAGGTATCCTAAGGATTAGGCCACCTCCCCCAAAGCCACTGTCTTCACAAATGGGGACCATGCAGCCTGCAGAAGTCACCAGGGAGACCCGATTTCTAACCTGAGGCTCAGATCTGTCAGATTGTATAGCCAGGTCCTCCCACCAAACCCAGTTCCATCTATCAGTAAAAAAAAATTAACAAAATTTAATAGATACTTATTAAGCACCAACTGTGTCAGCATTGTTCTCGGTGCTGGAGACACAGTAGGGAACACAAAAGACAAACCCCTGCCCTTGGGGAGCTTACACATTTAGTCTTTCATTTTGTCCTGTGTGGGGAGCAGCCAAGGACAGCAGGGGGTCTGGAGAGGACAAATGTTCCTTAAATTCCTGGCAAGCCAGCTTAAACTCACACTTTTACTATGAAACATCAGTTACATTTGGCCAAGACAGAGATGTCAAAATGTAGTGGCAGGTGGTTGGTAAGTGATTGGGACAAGGGTGTGTCATGAGTGCAGGGTGGAGCGCAATCACTCCTGGGCTGGGGTCGTCAGGAGAGGCACCTGCAGGAAGAGACAGCTGAGCTAAATCATGGGGTATGAAAACCCCAAGAGATAACAGGCCCCCCCCCCCACAACTCATCACCCTTAACCGGAAGCTTCCAGAGAGGGCTTACAGGCCCCAGGGAGCAGCGAGTTCTGACCACCCCCATCCATAACCGGGTGACTTTGGGTTTCTCATCTGAAAAATGGGCAAACACCCATCTTGCAGGGGGTCACCTAGTGAAATGTAAATGAGAGATTAAAACGCAAGCTCTATGATTGGGACACAAGTTAATGCCACATTAATATATGAAAAAGAGGTGCTCATTAGTATCCAAAAAGTAAGTAGTTGGGGCTCTATTTTCCCAATGAAAAAGCTCAACTTTTGAGGTAGTTTTAAAATGAGAAGGAAGGCTTGTGGTTTGTGAATACTACTGGGGGCCTGGGGGTTCCAGCTGGGGAGTCAGCACGAGGCTGTTCCCTCCCATTTGGGGTCAAAATCGGCCAGTTCCAGAAGACAGATTCTGAGTGATGATGTCCAGTCTTTGACCAATCACTCCACTTAGGGAAGCTGAAGTCTGAAGAGGGGAAGGGGAGCCCCAGGCCACGCAGCCAGATCAGGGGCAGACCCTAAGCTGTGACCTGCTGCAGCCTCCCAGTGTCCCGGAGGGCTTTCAACCAGCTGCCTCCTTTGAATCCAAAGACCACACGGTCTGATTAGAGTCTGACAAAACTGAGGAGTGTCCTCTGCCTAGCTCCAGGCTGGTCAGGGTCTAATGACTTGGAAAACAATATTCTAACTGAGGACATGCCACCTCCACATTGTCACCCGGGGTAGCTTTCGTTCTGCTCTATTTTCGTAGACACTGCTGAGAATTCTGCCTTTCCAACACAAGGTGTAGAATGACTGACACACACACACACACGCACGCACGCACGCACGCACGCACGCACGCATGCACGTGCGCTCTTGAGGAGCTGTGAACAAATCAGCACTGAACGGATACACTGGAGAACTGGGGGAGCCCAGCTGGGTGACCCTGGGCCGGCCCTGCAGCCACTCTCTGGTCCTCCCCAGCACAGTGTGGGGAAAGAACACAAGTGCATTCAGACAGACTTGGGAGTGAAATCTTGGCTCTGTAAAGGCAGGCAAATCAATTCAATTTCTAGACTCAGTTTTTTCTCCACTGCAAAATGGAGACAACAGGACTGCTTTAAGGAATAAATGAAACAGAACGTTTGTTTGTAAAGCACCAGCCAGGGGCCTGGCCCAGGACAGGTAGGTGTGTGATAAATGTTAGTCCCTTTCTTTGCCACATCTATGGCAGTTTGGGAAAAGAGTATCTGTACTCTTCTAGTTGTTGAAATAATGTTTCAGAAGAGAAGGGAAAAGCTATAGGCACAAAGCAGCTGACCAGAGCATAAATAGCAAAAAAGCAGAAACGGGATGGTTAATAAACTTCCTATTGGCAGTTAAAAGAATTTGCTTATGTAAACAATGAAGCAAAACAAACCTACCTCATGAGTAAATACATGCAAACGTGTGACAATCATAAATATGACTGAGAGAAAATGCACCTGGACAAGGGCTGAAAAAGCAAGGCATACTGTAAAGCATGATCTGCCGAGGGCAGTGGGATTGAGTGAATGTTTCCTTTTTTAAAATTCAGAATTCCAATAATAGTGCTAGGACACTGGAAGTGTTAAAAAAAAAGGGGGGGTGCAAATCCACCAACATGAGGGGCTTAGTAAACAGCACGTGTTATGCGGTGTCTGGGCTGTTGCCTCAGGTCACGGCTGGAGGGAGGGCTTACCTTCGGTGTTCACCACGATGATTCCCTGCACACCCTTCTGGCTCTGAAGTCGTTTCAGTGTCTCCTCCACCTCTGCCTGCCAGAGAGCAAGGCCAAGGTTAGGAGAGGCCAGGAAGGCGGGATTCACTCCCTCATACCCCTGGCAGATGAATCACACATGTCTTCCAACAACAAACAAGTAACACCTCCCCCAAACCCCACCAGGCCCCCATGAGCACCTAACCATCTACTACACCCCCACCACGGGGCAGGGCCCCTCTGGCCCTCTGCCCACCAGGCACTATTATCCCTCCCGGCCTCAGCTATTTGGGAGCAGGATATAAATACCATCCCTGGGAGCAAAGGCATGTCTATGACTCAAGTATTTGGTTTACCTGGGGGACAGATCTCTGATGATTTGAAAAAACCCCAACAGTGGTGTCTAACAGGAAGGAGACACACTGTCATTTGTGACCCAAACAGCACAACTGAAAACATTCCAAAGGACACAAAATGACCCCAAGAGGATAGATTCAGTGATTTAATAAGCTAGCATCTGAGATAGTGCGACACATGGCACATAGCCACAGGAAATGTGCCTGGGAAAAGGGCTCATTAACCCTGATTCTCTAGAAATTAGGGTGGGACACTCTGGCACACAGAATTTGTAAACAGAGGGGACAATCAGACGTTTGATTCCTCACCTGGCCATGCAAGGAATATTATAGGAATGTTATCACTCGCATCTCTCTTACCCTTCCCTCCACTCTCCACCCACATGCCACTGTTGCCACATCTTTTTACCCTAACAAGGCCTCTTCTCTGCTGAACTCCAAGAAACTCTTCTAGACGTCTAAGACAGCACCTCCTCCATGGAGCCTTCACTGATCCCAACGCAGTGGAGTCTTTGCCCCCTTCTGACTCTGCGAACTCTTGACTGTACCTCTCTGGGATGCATTAGATACTGTTTTACTAAAGGTCCACAGAATGGTCTGCATAGTAGGGATGCAATGAACAGCTGCTCAACTAACTGTTCTAGGCTTGACTCTTCCAACAATGGAAACTGGCCTTGAAGTATGCTTGTTCTCTGGAAGCCCTTTCCAGAGTGGTCCAGAATCCAGTCAGAAGCTCCTCAAAGATTGAGAGGCAGACTATGTGGGAAACAGAGGCTCCATTGACCAAAAGAGAGGGCTTCCCTGCCCCCAGGGGCTAATGAGTTGGGGGGTGGGGGGTGGGGAAACGTCTAAACAGTGGATGGAGATAGCACAATAAATTATTGTTTTTCTAGTAGGCACAAGGCTGACAATCCAGTCACTGCCACCCACTCCCCTATGATGTAAGAATACTCTCAAATGCCGGAGACAAGGGCAAACAAGTTCCTGCTACAAAACAGCCAATAGCCTGATGCCTCTAAACTCTGCAGCCTGGGTGACAGGACAGGACTAGCTCTGTAACTCTGTGGACACGAGAGCAGTGGGTCATGCATGTATGAGATCTTAATTCACTCAACACACTTTCACTGAGCTCCTACTATGCGCTTTCTGGAGACAAGGGTAAAGTACAATAGTGGGCAATACCACATAGTACTCAATTTGACCTAGGAACCCTCCTGGAAATTCAACCTAAGGAAATAATCCAGAAGAACTAAAAGAAGAACACAGCTCAAGACGTCTGCTGCCGTGACACCTGCAACAGCAAAAGCAGAAAGAGCCAGAAATGCCCAATACTTAGCGTAAAGGCCAAGTAAATTATGGAATGTCCATTCACAGGAATGTAATGCACACTTTACCAATGGTGATCGGAATATTTATATCACCACAGAAGGTTTATGATAATAACATGAAGTAAAACCAGCTAAACGCAAAAATAAAACGCTTGGTGACTGCGACCACATGGAAAGGAGGCGGCTAGAGGGATTATGAAAAAATAAAAGGCCACATTGAGAGCATGGAATCATAGATAAGGTTTTCTTTTTTTCTTCAAAACAGCCTCTTTTTATTCTATTCTATTACTTCTATTTAAAAACTTTAAAACCCTCTCTCTGTGTATCCAAAGAGAGATCTCTGATATGGGGACCACAGGGCTTTGATGAGCTCGACATTATAAGACTATACAAGTTGGATGACAATTTAGTACAGCTCAACCAATCTGCAATCAACCTGGGGAAAGGGAAAGAAAGGTAAAACTAAAAGATGTCAGAATCAAGGTCCAAAATAGCCCCTGGAGAATGGAAAGTGGGGCTGAAATGAAAAAGGGTGAAATTTTATAAAACTGCTATTCATTCGATAACTATATGGGTGCCTTCTGTGTGCCAGACACTGTTTTAGGCCAGGGGGTGCTGTAGTGAACAAAACATAACAAACATCCCTGCCCTCATGAAGCTGACACTTGGGGGTGGGGGTGGGGAGTCAGACATGAAACAAAAGAAATAAGTAAAATACAAATATCAGATACAGTAGGGAAGGGGGATATGGAATGCAGGGAGTGGTGACAATTTTAAATAGGGTAGTCGGAGAGGCCTCACTAAGGTGAGAGTTGAGTAGAGATTTTAAGGAAATGAGGGAACCCACCGAGCGGATTTTTAAGGAGAGTGTTGCAGGCAGCAGGAAGAGCGAGTACAAGAGCCCAGAGGTGGGGAAGCGGCCAATTCCAGGAAAAGCAAAGGAACCAGTGTGGCTGAAGCGCAGTGAGTAGCAGGTGGCCAAATGAGAAAGGTAGCCAGGAACAGGTTAGACTTCAACGGGACTGGTAGGTCACAGTAATGACCTGGCTTTTAATGGGGACAATCTGGGGCACCACTAGCAGGTTTTGAGGTGAAGAGGGACAAGACCTGATGTTTCAAAAGGATGGCTCTGGCTGCTGTACGCAGAATGGATGGCAGGGGGCAGGCACAGCCTGTTTGAGCCGGTGCCCTAGGCAGATGGGCTCCCTCTGAAGGAAGCAACCTTCTCTCACTACTTGATATAACTAACTCCAAACTCTTTGGACTCAGCCTCCTGTGTGAGGCCTTCTCTGACACCCAGCCCTCTTCTGGGTACCCACCGCACTCTGCCTTCATAGCACTTATCACAATGAGGTGTAAATGTCTGTTTTGAATCTGTCTCCTCCTCCAGACCCAAAGCACCCTGGGAGCACAGACCTAGACTTTATAGCCCCAGTACCTGGTACAATATAGGCAATAAATACTTAAGGCACAAATAAAAAACATTTCTGCAACTCTGTTTTACAAAAATCAACCTCAAGTACATGATGGAGGACATGGCCTTACAGTAGCCAGTATAAAAGCGCTAGGGTTTAGGTGACTCTAAGTTTAATGAGAGCCAGCCCATGATATCTGGCTGTTAAACACATACACCCCAAGAAAGGAAGGCCACACAAATACACACTGGCCTACTTTGTATCTGCTACAGGTCAGATACTGGGATGAAATGTTTTCAGGCACATCTGTCGCATGACCCTGCCACGGTTAATAGTATCTCCATTTTACAAGGAAAATGAGGTTCAGAAAAGAGTTGTTTTTCCCAAGGACACATAGGTCGAGAATATACTACTGACCACAACTGATGAGGTCCCTGTCCTCAAGGAGTTCATATGCTGGTGGAAGAGACATTCCAAAAACAAGTGACCAAGATTCTTGCAGGGTCCAGGGACAGGGCTGGGGGGCAGGGGGTGCCACTTTGCCTAGTGTGGTTAGAATACCTGAAGATGTAATCTCTAAGCCCAGAACTAAATGATGAGAAAGAAAAGCACTCCAGGCAATGGCAGCAAATGGGGACAAGTTTGGCCTCACGTTCAAGAAACAGAGAATGACCGGTATTGCCAAGTTTTTTGATTTTCTGCTAACCTGTTAGGCAAAAACCAAAAAACAGAAAGCCAACCTTTCTTAAGTTTTAAGAGTTTTCAGTGAAATTACAATGGAATTTACTGACTGCGTCCTCCTTTTCTGAGTCTTTTGATATTTCTAGAAATCTTACTGATTTTCAAAATTCTTGTATATTACAAATATTACACTTTTGTCCATCATAGAAATTATACTTGTCCCAATTTTTAATCGTTTTGTTTTTTGTTTCTTTTTTAGCTGAGCCATCCTGCCACCTGCTGGCAGCTCAGCAGCAGCTCAGCTCAGGCTGGGAATCGAACCGGCAACCCTGTTGCTCAGAGCTCACACTCTTGAGCGAGCTCTTAGCCAACTGAGCCACTCGGCCTGCCCCCACTTTTTTAATCTTATGATTTTTATTTTTTATTTTTTTGAAGATTTTTATTGGGGAATTGGGGTAAGGGGAACAGACAAGTTGCTGACTTTTTGTTCTTCGTTCTAGTTGCGGAGGACATTGCTTCACTGGCCCAAGTTGGCACCATCATTGCGCTCTTCCAGGGTGAGGCAGATCAGTCGCCGGCTTCTGGATGGCTGCTCACGGCAGCTGCTGGCTACACACGGTAGCCCATGGCAACCCACTGCAGCAGTGGTTGCAGCCTACGCTGTCTCCGGCGACTCA